TGTCTTGGAAGTGTGCACTACTGAGCTGGAGGGGCACACAGCCGACACGTGGGAAGATTAGTCCAATTCCATTACAATGACAGGAAAAGCAATTCTGAGCACATTCCCTACAGGGAGGGGTCAGTAGCCTCATTTTTATTTCAGCTTGGCACTGAGCATGGTGTCTCTTATAGACGAATGCTTAATGATAGTCCTTTTTAATGTTCATAATGTTGAAGACAAGATACATTTTAAAACCATACAGCAGCTTTCCAAACAGGTAATATTAAGATTGTGAGATCCATGAACAACAGAGCCATTTCATCAACTATTAGTTCCTGAATCATTTGGAGCTTAAAATTTAATGTATGTATTAAAAGTTCTGATTTAGAAAAGCAATGATAGACTTGCTCTATGAAACAACTTAACAGCAATTAATTATGACTAATTTCACCACAATGGAATATATATATATGTGTGTATATATACATATATACTATTATACATACATAGATACAAATATATATACAACACATATTTACAAATATACATATAAAAATATGTACATACACACACACACACACATATATATACATACATATATATACATATATATATAATGGAATATTACTCAGTCATAAAAAAAAGAATGAAATCTTGCCATTTGTGGCAACATGGCTGAACCCAGAGGGTATTAAGTTAAGTGAGACAGAGAAAGACAAATAATGTATGATTTCACTTATATGTGGAATCTAAAAAACAAAACAAATGAACAAACATATCAAAACAAACAGGTGGTTGCCAGAGGGGAGGGGGTCTGGGGACTGTACGAAATAGATGAGGAGAATTAAGAAGTACAAACTTACAGTTACAAAATAAATGAGTCATGGGAATGAAATGTACAGCATGGGGAAATATAGTTAATAATAATGTAGTATCTTTGTATGATGATGATGGCAGTCAAAAGGTACAAACTTCCAGTTATAAGATAAATAAGTACCATGGATGTAATGTAAATCAGGATTAATATCAATATAATTAACACTGCTCTGTTATATATGAAAATTGTTAAGAGAATAAATCCTGAGTTCCCATCACAAGGAAATTTTTTTCTTTTCTTTTATATTTATATGAGATGATAGATAGTCACTAAACTTATCATGGCAATTATTTCATGATGTATATAAGCAAATCATTATGCTATACACCTTATATTTGTATAATGCGGTATGTCAATTATTTCCCAATAAAACTGGAAGGAAAAAAAAAAGTAGTCAGTCCCCTGTCTGCTGCCTAGAATCATTTTTAGGCATCCTGATTCAGTTTCATAGTATTATTAACAAATTACTATGCTTAAACATTTTACAGTAAATCTCTTTTTGCAGGTTCATATGATAATTCAATCATCTTGTATAAAGAGGACTTCTGAAATTGAAATTTTTGGAGTGTTCACACCATATGCCATGCCCTCTGCTAGATAGACATTTTATAAACATAGCCAATTTAATCCTCATTTGAAAAAACACAAACAACAAAAATCTTATAGGGTGATTAATATTGTACTCATTTAATGATGTGGAAAACAAGGCTAGATAAATAAGTAATTTGCCCAAGGCCTCCAAATTAGTATAGCCTTGAGTTTTAAACAAACAGTTACATGTAAACGTTTATGACTCATAATTGCCAGAGCATCACATTTTTCTTTTTCTTGATAGTATGATATTCAACTGGGTATTTGTTGCCCCGACAGACTACATGTTTTGCAGATCCCCTGCAGCTATTGTGTGGGTATATGACCAAATCTAGCCTAAGTTATGCACACAATTTCTGGGTTGTGCCTTATATTCTTCTTTCCTAAGGATGGAGTTAGGATGTAATGGCAAGAGCAAAGCAGCCATACTAAACCACGGAAACCCTGTTTTGAGAATGGCTGAAAACAAGATATAAGCAAACTTTGTCTCCAACAGTATTGAGCAGATGTAACAATCTTGGACAGACTACCTAGATGTTTCTATTTGTGTAAGTTCTTGTATCTTTGTGTATATTTGTATTTTATAATATGTGTAGTGTAACTCTTTGGTGAAATAGCCTGATGATATAGCATAAGTAATGTATCATTGTTGATATTTTTCTTGTAGGTATAACCCCACCATCAATGGTGAATTTGAATAAGACTTATTCTACCTTACTACGATGATCATGATTTATAAAGACATTTTGCTTGTAATGCTAGAGAAGAATACACAAAGAGATCAAACTTCAGTTTTTTCATCCTTGATATTATAATTTTAAAACATTAATGTAAATGTATTGAGTATGTGTGATTAAAAACAACATTTTATGTACCTAAACTAACTCTATATTATAATTGCACGTTAAAAGGTAGACTCATATCCATGTATTGGTGACAGTTTTAACATTAGATAGTATCTGTCAAAACTACCACTCAAATGTCTAAAGTTTAAACATACATACACACAACAACAACAAAGTAACAATAATTGCAAATAAAACAAAAAGTGAAACACAAATGATTAAAGTGACAAACTGCATAATAGAAATTACATATAGATCATGAAAACCCTTTATCTAGCACAGCACTGTGGCATAAGAAAGTGGAAAAATTTGTGTAGTTGTTTCCTTTGAAAAAAAAAATTACTCAAGAAATAGATGTATAGGCAGAAAGTAACAGCAAATAGAGAGCCCATTGTGGGTAGTTCACTGTGATGAGGATGCCTCCAGAAACAAAGTACTGGACTAAGTGTTATCATACAAAAATAATCTGTCCTTACTTTTGCATTAGAATTTCAATTACCTCTTTAGCAAATTTACTTTAACAGACTCCCATATTATTTAGACTCATTCATTTTACTTTTTGTAATTTTCCAGTAATTGAGAAAGTAGCATGTGCATAGGTATATAAAAATTTTAATTTTAAATAATACTTTTCCTTAAGTAAAATGAGAAAATTCCTAAATTATCTAAATTATGTATCTTAAAATTAAGAACTTGTTGTGACATTAGAAGAGAAGGCATTACTGTTAGTATTTCAAATTTATGCAGTTAGATATTTACTAGGTAAATAATAAAAACAATTTGTGAAGAGTAAAAAAAAATTAAATGATAAGATGGCATTGTGTCCATTTTAAAGGGGTATTTTATGTTTAAAGGCATGGAATATCCTATAATGTTTACTTTTTAAATATAAAAGTATGCAATAAAACATGTTTTAAATCCGTTTAATAGAGGTATTCATTGCATACCACTTAGGTGTAATAGTTGTTATATTGCTGTACCTACAACTATATTTACATACATATATCTATAGCTATACTTTAAAAATAGTATTGTACTAGTGATGAAGGCATTCTTCCTATTGTAGTACTTCCTAATTAGCTTTTTCTCTTTCTCAGTAAGTCAAATCCAGGTCAGAGCACAATTACACATAATTAAGTTGAAAAACAGACATATCATTCTACCTCATTTTTTGATTTTCACATTTTTTTTCTCTAGTAAGGCTCTGCATGAATCCATATGGGCAGTGCATCATTTCTCATTCCAAAAGATGAAATACTGCTCAACATCACTAATCATCAGACAAATGCAAATCAAAACTACAATGAGGTATCACCTCACACCAGTCAGAATGGCCATCATCAAAAAATCTACAAACAATAAACGCTGGAGAGGGTGTGGAGAAAAGGGAACCCTCTTGCACTCTTGGTGGGAATGTAAATTGATACAGCCACTATGGAGAACAGTATGGAGGTTCCTTAAAAAACTAAAAATAGAACTACCATATGACCCAGCAATCCCACTACTGGGCATATACCCTGAGAAAACCATAATTCAAAAAGAGTCATGTACCACAATGTTCATTGCAGCTCTATTTACAAAATAGTCAGGACATGGAAGCAACCTAAGTGTTCATCGACAGATGAATGGATAAAGAAGATGTGGCACATATATACGATGGAGTATTACTCAGCCATAAAAAGAAATGAAATTAAGTTATTTGTAGTGAGGTGGATAGACCTAGCACCTGTCATACAGAGTGAAGTAAGTCAGAAAGAGAAAAACAAATACTGTATGCTAACACATATATATGGTATCTAAAAAAAAAAATGGTTATGAAGAACCTAGGGGCAGGACAGGAATAAAGACGCAGATGTAGAGAATGGACTTGAGGACACGGGGAGGGGGAAGGGTAAGCTGTGACAAAGTGAGAGAGTGGCATGGACATATATACACTACCAAATGTAAAATAGCTAGCTAGTGGGAAGCAGCTGCATGGCACAGGGAGATCAGCTTGGTGCTTTGTGACCACCTACAATGGTAGGATAGGGAGGGTGGGAGGGAGATGGGAGAGGGAGGAGATATGGGAACATATGTATATGCATAGCTGATTCACTTTGTTATACAGCAGAAACTAACACACCATTGTAAAGCAATTATACTCCAATAAAGATGTTTTAAAAAAATAAAAAACTAGTTCATAAAAAAAAAAACAAAACTGTTTTCTATAATAAAGCAACATACCAGTTGCCTCGCACTGTCGTGTCTGCCCTCGCTTTCTGCCTGGATGGCTGAGAGAACATCAGGGGTGGATGGGGCAGGCAGACAGGGACGGGCAGGGACAGTGTTCTCAACAGCAGTTCTGCTTTGAAGATTAGGGAACGATGAGGGCACACCCATGCCAGCAGTTTGAAGGAAAAATTATTGTTTGACAACTGTGGCATGCAGTATAAATTCTTGTGATCTGGTTGTTTACAGCATTTAGGAAAACCTCAGAGCTGCAGTAAATATGAATATCAAATGATTGATGTGCTTTCTTGTTTTTTTCCTTAAGACTGAAGTAAGGATTTTACTCCTATTTCTATAGGTGACCATTACTTTTTATAGTGAATATTTATCTATTCATTTACTGTAGCCAAATCTTAATTAAAGTGGTTTATTATATGTTTTTGTAGAACTATAATTAAAACAAAACATAATAAAAATGCTGATATGTATGATCTTACCAGGTGAAGATAAGGCATAGTAATGTAGATATTAAAATCAAAACTTGATTAAACATTGCAGACTGTGTACGCTGAATAGCTCTGTGTAGGTCATTCTGAAATAATACAGAACAAGCATATTTTAAATTTTGATAGATACTACATATTCATGAGTTTTGTTACATTTAGTACTATGTATTACATTTCAACTATCTTGTGCATACTCAACACATATACTTTAAATGGATATAGCAGCATATTTTCGTTTTTGCCTTGGTCTATATAACCTTACTGTAACATTCATATTACCAAGATAATACTATGGGAGACCACCAAAGCACCAAATTTTAGCTTACTCGCCTTACAAACATCTGTAGAGTTGTTACACTGACTCCCCAAAAGCCCTCCACGGTGAGTATGCTCTCTTGTGGAAAATTCTAATTTTAAAAGATCAGAAAATAATATGTTCAATTAAGGGGAAAGTAATAGCTGGATCAAACTACAACCATATCTCATTCTCTGAATCAGGAAAAATAACATGAATTATGCCAGGTGATTCATCATAAAAATAAAAAATTATATAGCCAATGAACATTTTTAGATTAATTTCATTCATATTAAATGTGAATTCAAGATATAATTTTATTTTCCAATTGAAAAACATTGAAAATAATAATACCCACTGTTATTTAATATGCAAAAAACAAGCACTCATATATAATACTGCTCATGTAATTTGTTATAAATTTCTTGAAAGTAATTTGGTAATACAGGTCAAAATTCACAAAAGTATGCCCTTTCTACTTCATGGATTCATTCATTTAATTAGTATTTACCCCATAACATAATTTCTAAAAGCTAACCACATGAAAATTATGAGATGGAAATCTAATACTTATGTATGTTCATCTTTATTACAAAATTGTAATATTTATTACGTCAAATAATGAATGTCCATTACTATTAAAGTAACTAAAAATGCAATAGAAAAATGGTTAAATAAATTGATCAAAACTAGATAGCAGATTTAGATGCATCCATTAAAAATGGTTTGAACAGGAATATTTAATGACATAGGAACCTGTCCACCACATACTATTATATGACAAAAAATTTAAATTATAAAATTAAACATACTATTTTGTGTGTGTGTGTTTTCATAGAAAATATTAGAAGAATATCAATTATTACTAGTGCTTAGTCTGTGTGGAAGGTTTGTAGTTTTGCATAATGTTTTATTTCATGGTTTCCTGTTGTATAAATTTTTTATAGTAACATTTTAACAGTCTGCATATCAGGACTGCGTGAGATAAATAACTTCATCAATACAAGAAAAGTCTCAATGAGCCATAGTTTATCTTTCTCTACCACACATTTAACCAAAAATGTAACAAAAACAAACTAAGTTGACTAGAATTTCACCTTGCATCTCTTACTTTCTTCTAACAGAGGTGTTAATGAACAGAAAAATAAATTCAAATTTAGCAACCAGGGAGAGGAGAAGTAAAATATAGAGCTATGATGGAAAATGACTCCTAAATTAACAATGCAAGCACTACTACTCTCAACGATTGACTAATAATTCCTCTCTTGGTTAGGTTACTTTTTCCAACAGCTAATAAATGCAAATTAGCAAAGACGTTTATTTATTTTTTTCCTGGAGTATTTTTTTTTTCATTAGGAATTTAGGCAATCTACATTTAGTGAAATAGTATTTTTTTGGACAGTTAAGACAGACTGATGTTTCCACAAACCATCCACAGGCTACACTCTCCCCTTCTTAGCCATGAACTTTCATGAGGCTCCAGTGGTTACTTAACACAGATGTTTAGAAATATTCATCTGGTTGTGAATATTCAAATGTTATCCAGATATTCCTTTTGGCCACAACTTGTGTCATAATTTCTGTTAGAAAGCTATTTACATTGTAAAGCAATTATACTCCAATAAAGATGTTAGAAAAAAAAAAGCTATTTAAGAGAAAAGCAAGTTTGCCTCCAAACAAATTTAATTTCTGTGTGATAAAATTAATAATATTGAGCCCTTACTATGTTTATGCCAGATACAAGATTTTACACATACATATATATGCATGTATATATAATTTCATTTAATTCTCACAGCAAGCCTGTATGTAGGTACTTTTATTCTCTTGTGAAGATGAAGACATTAGCAAAGAAGTTGAATCATTTGCTTATCTTATCAGAGCACTTAACATAGAGTGGACTCCTATTAACACCTGTAGAATAAATGACCAAGCAGCAAGTTCACTCATAAGTGTCCAAGTCTATTATAGCAAAGAGATTTTGGTCATAGTAATAAATCAGTCCTTCTGAACAGGGTCAGCCTTGGGCAAAATGCAACTGTGGCACATCTCTGAGTTCTGCATCTCTTCTTTCCTGCTTCCCTTTCTCCCACCTAATATCCTACTCCCAACCCAACCTGGCCTAAAAAGGTGACTTTACATGAGGGCCTTCTGGCTCCAATATAGGGTCTTACAAAAGCCCATAGATATTTACGGACTGTGAGACTACCTACAGTTAAGAACAGTTTGACAATGTTACCTCCTGAAGCCTTAAAACCAGGGGTCCTGTTATACATCAAGAGATTGCCTTAGAAGGGAAGGCTGTTTGTCTTCAGGAAATTGGCTAACTAGTTGGATCAGTCCGAACAGCAGTTAGCTTTGGTTTGGTGATATTTGGAATATCTGAACTATTTTCGTTTACCAGCTCATAGGGCCTTATGAAGGAAGGGACTTGGCAATATGGGCATTTTATGACTTTTCATTCTCATTAGGGTATAAGCAGACTTGGGATCTATTAGCTTAGACATTTATGCAACACATCACTTTAATGAGGTAAGAAATAATGGAGTGTTGAAAAATATTTTTGTCTTTACACTTGTCTTTTATACTTACAATCATATTTTCCAAGGCATGTTTGGCAAGCCAACAGTTTAGAAAGACTGGAACAAATAGATTTCTTAAGGAAGGCCAGAATATCTGCAAAACAGATCAAAACTAAACTTTTATCTCAAAGCAAGAAATCGATATGATTGAGAAGAAGTGTGAAACAGAAATAAGTTATTAAAAACAATAGAATGATCTAAAACATGTGGCAAATACTTTAAACTCATATGACTATTGAAATGCAAGGAGTAGACAGGATCTTTTCATTCATTCTCTAAGTCTTACTTAAGGAAAAATTCTTTGGAAAATTATTGTAGAAGCAGAATGAAAATAATCAGCCCTCACTGGATGTCAGCTATAATGTGCTAATTCGATCACTAAATCTTTTAGTGTGACAGTTCATAATAGACATCACCTCTTTCTTTCCTGCAGCTGAAAGTAAAAAGTAGATGTAAGGAGACAGAGCTTTAGATTTTCATAGCATTACCACTTAGTCTCTGCAGATTCAAACATTCTTAGTGACATTGGGGAACTGTACTCCCTTGGAATTATGTTTAATTAGCCAGTCATTCAATCTGGGGCCAGCTGCTCCTCAAGATAAATCACTCAAATTAAAATAATTGTCAGAACTGAGCAACAGCTTCAGATCATATTGACTTTTCATAATTTTCCAAATAAAATTCAAACAAATAAGGTTTAGAAAGCATATTACCAACAGATATTACTGTAACTTTATCAAATAGAGATTAAGACCTAATTTTGCAGTGGGAAAGTGCTAGTTACATACTTCGTAGTTAAAACAGGATCACTGTGGAATTGGTCCTCGACAGACTTTGATAAAGAAGCAAATTACTAGTTGTCTGGCTGACAGCAACTTTCTTAGTAAAAAGAGAACTGGACTTAGGAAATCCTGTGGTTAAGCTCGAGATAAACATATTCTTAGCATGAGAAACTTTTATAAATACTTGGTTTTACTTGGTTTCTATTTTTTTAATTCCACAATATACACAAGAAATGGAATGATTAATTCCTGGTCTGTTTAGACAATATTGACACTTGTTAAAATGGCACCTCTAGAGCATATATTTCTAAAAGCATTTCATTTTGCAATTGTACTAAATCTCATTAATTTTCACTTAATTTCACAATCCAGTTACCGAACTGATTTTACTGTTTATTTTTTAATACCATGATTTAAAACAATAACAAGGTCTAAATTCATTCATCTGAGCTAATATGTTACCTATTACTATTTAGATTTAAAGACTTTATGTCTAATAAAAAACTTATTTCTTTTAAAGATTCTTTTAGGACTTACTGAGATAATGAAGGGAACCGCATTAATTACTTCCAAGATGAAGGGTATTCGTAAAATCTGTTCCCAGATGTTTCCCTTCCAAGAAAGAATGAGTAAAAATGAAAGTCAATTATAACTGAATCCCATTAAAGGGGGAAAAAGACAGCATCAGAATTTCTCTAGCAATAAGGATGCTTATATTAATAGAATACCAAATCATTATTTAGAAATGTAGCAATGACTTTTAGAGATTATTTTGCTGAATGTAATTGTGCCCTCTCAATTTTGTAGTCAGTGTAAGAAGTAAAGCAAATGTTTGTAGTAATCCTTGAATATTGCATATAACACATTTTAATCATATCATATTTCATGGAAGTAAAGTTACTAGTAAAAATAAAACACATTAAAAAACCTTACAGAATCAATGAAAAAGCGACTCAATCTTAATTTTTTTACTATAATAATTACATTCACAAACTTTAAAGCATATCAAATAGTTCGCAAACACAAACATATAACAATGTTCCTTAGAATTAACATTGTTTTTAGATTAATAAAATTTAAAGGGAGGATTTTCTCAATCTTCTGGATTCTAATTTTCCAACCCACATAGTGCAACAATATTAATCAGGCCTGGCTACCTAATTTGTGGGGCTAAGGGCAAAATGAAAATGCAGGGCCTCTTAACAGGGCCTCTTATTAACAAATTATGAATAATTTCAAGAAGGTGACATCAGAGCATTAAAACAAGCACAGGCCCTTCTAACTGTGCAGCTCTGGGCAACTGCACTGACTAACTGGTCATTCCTGAAACTTTCTTGAATGGTGTCTAGCAAAAAAGAACTCAGAACTTCCTAAAGCAGTTTATTCGTCTATGAAAACAAGAACTACCCATTAGTAAGGCAATTTGAAATCTGACTCCCTGTAATGTCTAATTATTTTGTGACAATGGCTATAATACTGGGATTCTTTATTTTTCTTGAGGTCCCAAAGCCTTAAAACATTACAGTGATATAAAACACCTCCACTTCACAAGGCAAGTTCTAGATCAGCAATCGTCTGTGTGCTAAAGAGGTTTTGTTATCATTAGCTCATCACCCATCTGCAAGCTGTATAAAGAGTGGAGGAGGGAGCAGGTGGAAGAAACAGAAGCAATGAGACCTCCTCTGTGTAGAGATACAAGGGTGCTGTGTTACTTCCCTCACCACATCCAGCTCAGTGAGGAGAGCTCGGGTGAACGACTCAGACAGCTGGGCTCAGACATGGGGGCTGCATTTGGCGAATGCTTAAAACATCATCAAAACACAGCAGAGCAAAGACAAAGAGGGTTAAGATGAGAACAGGCCACACTTATGCCAATCCTAAGAGGTACTTATTTTCTGGGGATGAGATATAGACCCTAAAGAATGAAACTTATGGCCATTCTAAGTTCACACTCAGGAGGGCTGTGTTCCTAAGGGGACGTGGAACCGTGACAGATGGTGGCCCTCAGGACCCCAGGGCCTGGGTCACAGCCCTAATGGCCAGCCTGAGGCTTGAGGCATCAAGGAGCTTTGGCCAAAGGCCTCAGGAGAACCATAGAAGCCCCGTTTGGACCTGCCATCAGAGCAACCCAACTGCAGACTCTTCTTGTGCCAGTCAGGCAACTTCATCCCAGAAGCTGACCTCACTTCTCCCCATGCCTCCTCAGCCCTGAGGGACCAAAATCAGCTGGTGTCAAATAAGGGAGGAGGGGGAAAGAGGAGATGGCCCCCAAGATGATCCCCTGCCCTATGTGGTTCCAGGCCAAGAAAAAGCTAAAACTGGATAAGAATTTTAAATTTTTACATACTGATCATAATTTCTTAAGTACTAAACTGAGATTTGCATTGCGATTGAAAAGTCTAAAAAAGCTAAGATACCTGCCCAAGACTTCATCTGATGAGCATGGCTCATAAGGAAAATGACTGGATTTGAAGGAGAAATGTAGGAAAACTAAAGCCTTTTCCTACTTGCACTGAATCAGGCCTACCTATTCAACAAACCATTTATAATTGATTTTAATTATGTGAAGCTCTTATTTTTTATTGTGCAGGTTAACATTACATTTCTTTCATCAGTTTTTTACATGACTCAGTTTCCATAATGCTTAACACTTGGCTTACTCTTTCACAGCAGGGTGGGGTGGGGAGGGGTATGAGTACAGTTACCACTGGTCTTACGGCAGGATCTTTCTACAAACACACAGCAAGATTAGTTAGTTTTCTTAGCTGTGGCACACTGGAAAGTTTAGCTCATAGTAAACCAAAAGCCTTTCTATCTCTAAGGTGCCTCTTCGTTTCCATTTCTAACACACCAATTTGATTTTTATGATTTTTTCTCAAACCAGTAAAAGAGTCTCATGACTGGTATGTGACTTGGTTGGGTTCACTTCTGATTTACCTTCCATATTAAAGCCAGAGAATTCTTTCTAAAATGCCAAATTTCCATTGCCATCATATTAACATCCAAACTCCTCATTACATCATATGAAGCTTCATAATTTGGACTCTGGCTACTGGTTTGGTTTGTACCTACTACATTCCTAGCCCACCTTGAATTCAGCTACAGATTCATCACATGTAAAACTGATTTGGATGCAGTTCTCTGAACACACTACGTTATTTCATACTTTTACAACTTTGCTCACAACTTCTCCCTCTGCTTGGAATGTCTCAGTCCCCATACCTTCACCACTAACTACCTGGATATATCTTTGTAACATTTTATAAAACTTATTTGTTTATATGACATTTGGACTCAATAAGCATGTTAATGAATAGATGAAACTTTCAAATATCTTATACATATTCTTCCCTTCTTGGTATAATTAATTTTCGACCTTAAACATTTATATTTCTTTCTATTGGATCCAAATGGAAACCCCTGAAAGAATATTATTGTTTAAAGCCTTCCTGGTGCAATTATAAATAAGTTGTTAAACTTATGGCCACAAAGCTCAACAGGTTTTCTGGAAGAAAGCATTTCAAGAGTACTTGGCTATATACCCATTTTAGGTAATCTCATCTGTGTGTCAACTTCAACATATCGTCAATAATAAACCAATGCCTTCCAGTGTTGTATCTCTAGCTCAGATCAATATTCTATCTGAGAATCTCTTTCAGATCTCCACTGCCTAATCCACTGCCTCACACAGATGCCTCAAAGGCACCCTGTGGGTAATATGTCTAAAAGTAAAATTTAAACCACAATGAAAACAAGATAATCCGAAACCTATGGGATGCAGAAAAAGCATTTCTAAGAGGGAAGTTTATAGCAACACAATCCTACCTCAAGAAACAAGAAAAATCTCAAATGAACAACCTATCCTTATACCTAAAGCAACTAGAGAAAGAAGAACAAACAAAACCCAAAGACAGTAGAAGGAAAGAAATCATAAAGATCGAAGTAAATGAAATAGAGACGACTCATCTTGATGACTCAGACTCATCAAGAAAAAACGGGAGAGGATTCAAATCAATAAAATTAGAAATGAAAAAAGAGCAGTTACAACAGACACCACAGAAATACGAAGGATCATAAGAGACTAACAAGCAACTCTATGCCAATAAAATAGACTACCTAAAAGTAAAATTTATGATGTTTGCCCTGACTGGTTCTCCAGTAACAGAAACCAAAAGTTCTGGAGAAACTCTCTACACCTTCCTTTCACATGCTAAACAAGAATAATTCGTCAATAAGACTTGCTGATTCATATATGGATCTTGAGTCCTCTGGTTCTCATTCTAACGCTAATCCCACTCCAGCCTCCTAACCGGTCTCCTCCCCTTCCTTCTTGCCCCATTCCCATTCGCCTCCCACAATGTTACCAGGAATACGTTTCTAAGGCACATCTCATGTGCCAATCCCTACCCCTCACCCCACACCACCCCCACTCACTTTGAAACTCTTGAACAATTCAGACACTTGCACAGCGAAACACAGATTCTATTACAACCTACAAAAGGCAACACATCGTTTAGCTCTCCTTGTCCTCTCCCCCCGAATTTTAAAGATCATTCTTTCCTAAGACCTTCCACTCCTTATATATGCCAGGGCCTTGGCACGTGCTTTTTAAGAGACTTGGAAAATCTCCACCTTCCTTTCCAATTTCCCTTTGTCTAGTTAATTCACACATATCTTTCAGCTCTTAACTCAAAATCGTTTGAGTGTTTTGAGGCTTTTCTTGCCCCCTCATTGCACACACACCAGACAAGATCAGATTCCCACACTAGGCTTTTCGATCTTCATCAACATCCTTCTCATTCCTTTTTCTGTTTGTTTTTATATATTTAATCAACACTTGATTTTAATGTCATGAGGTCCAGGTGAGAGCATCTGTTTAGTTCGGGATTCTTTGCTCTGTTCCTAGCACGGTCCTTGACAGTCTGAAGCTCCTCAATAAAAACTAGAACTGCATTATGTCAAACACGCTCCTGTTGATTCATAGCTAATGTGTGAGTATGTTTGTGTATGTGTGTGTTGTAGCAAATAAGGAATTTCCCCCTGAGGACTAATTTTCACAATCTAAAATTATACAGGGAGGCAATGTACTCATTGCTAAAAATAAGCGAAGAACTTTTCGATTATATTCATTAGGCTTAATTCTAAGATCTCAGGTTGTCTTCAGAACATTCATAAATTATCTCCCCTAAGATGAGCTGATGAAAAATAGATAGAAAAATTATCCAAAAGTTGCATTGGCTATTAGAGAGTCCCCATGGGCCTGCATCATATAAATCCACATGATAAAACTTGCAACAGTTTATTGAAAGTAATTATGGTGGAAAAAGAAAGCCTAAATCCGGAGAATGCCGCTACATAGAGAAGCATGAAATAAGATCCAAAAGGCAGGCACATGCCTTTCAAAATTAAGTTAAATACCTGTTTCACTTAATCTTATTTTCCTGAATGATGATGAAAGGCATTAGTCTTCTTCCAAAAGGTAACCTAAAGAAAAAAAAATTTCTAAAAAGTAGGTTTTTCTGTTCTAAGAGTGTAGAGCTCTCTGTGTTCCTCTTCTTATTGACAGAATTCAGTAAAATATAAATAAAACCTAATCTAACCATTCTACAACATTTGGTATGGATGTAACCTTCCTTAACCAATAAAAATGCAGGACAACAGGTGATTTTCTAAGATGTTCCAGGCTTTTATTTTTATCATAAAAGAAAGTGCAAGTTTGGAACTATTATCTAGGTAACTCTAAAAAGCACTTTAAAAATTATAAGATTTATGGTAATTTAGTTGTTGTTAGCCCAGGATGGAACATGGGACTTTTAAAAAGCATTTTCTTCTATAATATTAAGAATACCTATATTTAAAATATTTAACCAAAATGACTAATAACTTACTTTCCTTCAGTGAGTTTAAATTATGGAGTAACCCTATGGCAGTCTTTTGTATTTCTGAATGTAAACTCAACAACATTTAGATTTACCATTTCCATGGCATGGTAAGCAGATTCACCAGGATCTAGGCGTCCTAGTCCAAATCCTTTGTTCTTTCCAGAAATAAGCCCATCATGATGTTAACATTTCAAAACTGTTGCTTTTTCATAAAGCGATTACTGTATAGAAAAAAGAATTGTAGATTTAACCAAAGCCTTCTAGGTGCGCTGAACTTTTGTTTTCAGAGATTTGGAAATTATGCCAGGGTATGTTTTTGTTTCCTTTTGAGTTAATGAATGTATGTGTATAAATAGAGTTCTATTTTGAAAGCAGCTGATAAAGACATAGAGGGTATCTATCTGACAGAAGAATAAGAACTTCCTTGTTGCGCAATCCCTGCGACTATTTTGACAAATAGCAATAAATAAACATGAATTGAATGATGATTTAATTTCAGACCTGCAATTCTCTATGACAGAGGACAAAATAAGTGGATGTCAGGGATTTGTAAGTTATTTTCTGCTAACCTCAACATACACTTTTAAGAGTTTTTGCTCATTTTGCTTTTACTCATTAGTCTTTTGATTTTAAAAAAACTATAGTCTCCATGATAGCTTAAACTTTTTTAATTGTTAAGGATTAAGTCATGCTTATTTTAGAAAGTCTAATTTTAAGAACTATAAAGTACTTACAAGTAAAGTATTAAATTTATTTTAAAATATCGCATATATACATATATATTATATATGTAAATATATATATTACTGTATATATATGTAGATGTAAACAAATATGAGAAAATTGTATGTTGATTTGCTATTGATATTTCAGAACTAGAAATATCAAAGAGCAATATTAGAAATGGATTTCATTACTAATACAATATCCATTTCTGCATACCTATCCATAATTTTTCTTAAAAGTCTAATTTGAGAGAAGGACCTCATTTGAAGTTCTACTGTATGGATTTTCCTTATATATATGCCATAAATAGTTATCAATTATTTAATTTTTTCATTCCAAAAAATGTATCTAACAGTTTATTGAAAGGGTCAGAAGAGTTCATGAATTTGACTGAATATATGAAAGGAAAAGAAGGTAATTAACAGCAACCTGTCCTTCCAATGTCACATAACTCCTTTTTATCTTTTGTGTTGTAACACACAGGACTCTCACCATGAACCTCTCCTCCATCTAGACATTAATGTCTATGAAGGTCAGAATGAAAATATTATATGTCATCTAGCTCTACCTGCTAGGTGTTTGCTCTCATTCTATAAATGGCAGGAATTAATTGATTACAAATGTCAGCACCACATAATTACAATGGAAAATTATAATTCCATCTTGAATCTCTTCGTGCTTTTTAAATGACTACTATTAGCAAAGCACCAAAGTTAATTTCATATTACTTTTTAGTTCGAATTTGGAGCACATACATTCACCAATGCAGATTAATATTTTGGCCAGTTTATGCATTTGTACATACTCTTGTACTAGCAGAAGAGATTTCATTAAATTACAAAAAAACACCCACATGCCTAATTTTTTAGTATGTCACTTTTTGCTTATCATATTCAACATCTATCACATACTTGAATACTAAACACCTTAGAAGATAACATCTTGGATGTTAATTTACTTGATTTTTATTTTGTTCTTCTAGGTATCAAAAATCCAGATTTGTCAATCAGTACGTATTTATAGAGCACCTATTCTGACAAGAAGATATACTAATAAGCCATTAAAAGATCCCTCCTCAACATCTTATTCTACAGTGTACATCACTAGGCTAGTATTTTCTAAGTAATTTAGGATTAAGTGACCAGCTATGTGCAAGATCTTTCAGCTTCCTCCTCTAACTTCAAAATATTCTTTCAGGCACCATTTTCCATCTCCTGTGCTCTCAGAAAAGAACAGAATGTATCCAAAGCTAATTAGCAGTCCTCAACTTCCTGTTCTAGCTTATTCTTACTTTTTATAAACCTTGCTTCATCCATCATTTTTTCCTGTCCCCTCTACTTGCTCTCTTTAAAAGATGCATATTTTTATCATCGTGAGGCAATCTTCCACCTCATTATATTGCTTCTAGGGAGCTCCTGTACCAGTCAATCAACATTCTTCATTTGACAGTTTTACTCTCAACTGTACTCCATTGAAATTGGGCTCTTAAGGGTGAATAACAAATGGTCTCCCAAATTGTAAACCCAAAAGCCTTTCTCAAGCTTCTTACTAAACTTTCCAAGGTTCCCATGCTTTCATTTAACACTTTTCTTCCCTAGACATTTCTAACATCCTATTTTTCTCATAAATATTAAATCAATCCATCTGTATTTTTTTTGGAAGGCACTCACTCTTTTCTTTCTACACTTTCTAATTCATCAGTCTCACCTTATTAGACATTGGCCTTATGTTCTTTAGGCAGTTAATGAGAATTTTAAAAAGGAAGCCAGTGGAAAAGGTGAAAGAGTTTGTAAAGACTTCTTGCCCTAAATTTTGGATTAAAAAGTAGTCTAGGGGGGCTTCCCTGGTGGCGCAGTGGTTGAGAGTCCGCCTGCCGATGCAGGGGACACGGG